CACTGGCACAGCTTCTTGCGATGCGGCTGCGGCAGCGCGTGGAAGGTCAGTGCGCGCGGCCGCCACCGCAGCGCTGCGATCGGCCGTGGGTCGCCCCCCCATTCCCCCCGCTGTCCCCACGCCTGTGTCCAGCCCCGGCGGGCCTGCCCCGCGACGTCCAGGTGCCCGACGACGGCGAAGACCGGATTAACCCCATGTTCTCGCAGGGCGCGGCGCACGCGGCGCTTTCCAGTTTTCCGCGGGGCTGACATTTCGGGAAATTCCTCCGAACTAGTAGCAGGCTCACGCTTTGTTCCCAAGCAAATGTGGTAATTTCCAAGCACGTTTTGCTTGAGAGTTACCACTTTGATTAAGTGATGATTGATATTGCCTGGTGAACTATCTGGCGACGTCGAGCAGGTTGCCTGCCTAAACGCCTTTTGCGATCTCGTGGCGGTCGTTTTATGGGATGACGTCAGGAAAGAAGAAAAAACGAGTTGCCAAAGCACGGGTCGCCAGAATTTAATCAACATCTCACAAACAGAAAGATTTCAAATATAATACTTATAATGCATACGTGTTACGGATTACCACATTACTCCCCGGGTGAAAGTGGACTCTTACCGGCTATCAACTTTTACTTACCGACAGATTAACCATAACATACAATTGTGAACAACCGCAGAGAAATAAATTTTGCTCCCATATTAGGAAAAGTAGGAAACGAACCACAAACGGAGCGCTAGTGGAGGACACATAAAGAGTGGGAGAAAGTACAGTAAAAAAGGGAGTGCATACATCAGTAAACCCGCAACACTGAAGCGCATTCAAAGTAAAAACGTAAGTAAATAAAAACGTCTACTGAATCTCAATACATCGTCGGCTTTGACGGATGACGGATCAGTTTATAGCCCAACAATTCCCCCCCTCCCCCTCCCCCGTATCAGTACACATAAGAGTGTTATCAGAATAAAAACAGAGAAAAACAAAAAGAATAATACAGAAATTAAATAATACCGAAAATAAATAAACCAGGAAACAACAAAAACGTAGAGTATAAGTACATTACACATTAATCCACGAACACGGGACTCGAGAGCGGTAGTAGGACCTCTGCCAGTCGACGTCATCAGTGTGTTCCTCTGGGGACGGGCACTTGTCAGGGTCATGCGAGTAGAGGCCTATCTTTCTCACCACCCGCCACTTGACTTCTCGATGGCAGCCTATCACGCATGTCTCACAGTCCTGGGGATCACACTCGTCACCAGTGGGGCTGCACCAGAGCTGAATGTGAAGGGAGGGGTTCTCCGCGAGCGTCGCCTTAACCGCGGCGTCGTGTATCCAGGCGTGGGGGCATTGTCCCCTCTCGACCGAGATCTCCAGCAGCCTGAGCGCCGGCGCCGTGGCGGGGGTGATGCTCTTGAGCAGCTCGTCGTCGGGCTCAGCAGCGTCCAGGTCCAGGTGGCGCAGGGCGGGCAGCATGGGCAGCGCGCGGAGCAACAGGCGCACGTCCTTGACCCCTTCGAGGGCCAGCCGCTCCAGGTGGGGACGCCAGGACGAGGTCAGGGCCTTCATCAGCGCCACGCCGGCCTCGGGGAGGAAATCGTCTCCGTCATCGCAGTCCAAGTGAATGCGACGCAGTTGGGTAGCTCGGCGAAGGAAATCAGAAAGCACGTCGATGTTCTCTAGTCCGAAGTAGGCAAAGAAGCTGACGTCCCTGAGCGTCTTGCACTCCGCCACGACGTTCAAACCCTGAACTTCCTTGTCGCACCGCAGGCTGTGTAATTTCGGCATGGTGGCCAACAGTTCAGCAGTCGTCGTCTCCTCGACATCGAAACCTGCGCCGAGATTTACGTGCTCCAAGGTTGCCGCGTGCGCAGCCAGAATGGTGTTCACAAAGGATGCTGAGTTCTCATTGACCGCGCACCGAAAATTAGTGAGCGAGGGCTTGGGCGGGCCGTTAACGACGGGGTGGCTGACAAGGGGCAGGTCGCCGTTGACTTCGAGCGACTCAAGGTTAGAACACTTCGCTACCGTCCTCACCAGCACGTCTTTTTCAGGCGTCGAATAGTATTCCAGCCCGTCAAGATAAAGTTTCCTGAGGCGCCCGAGGGACTCCTGGTTCCGCAAGGCCAACGCGTACTCTACGGCAGTGGTGGCCGACGCGTAATCCAAAAGCAGTTCCAAACTCGCCACGGCGCAACTGGTCGTGGTCAC